AGTGGGAGGGGAGCTGTTGCACTGTGGTAAACTGTGGTCAATGACATGAGACAAAGTGTATGTGAACTGCTGTATGGATCCATTGTGGTAAACTGTGGTCAATGACATGAGACAAAGTGTATGTGAACTGCTGTATGGAAAGTGAATTTGCTCTCTAAATCTTCACCCAAATCACAATTTAAAAAAATAATAATAATGAAAAAAAAAAAATACATAAGCAAGATGAAAGTTCAGCGGTGAGGAAAACCTGAAATACACTGAGCATTTAAACCAGTGCTTTTACTACAGAGGGAAGAAAAAATAAAAATTTTCTATTGAGTTTTATAAGCTATCTTCTAAATTGTTTAAGTGTATTTTAAGACATTCATAAGGGCATTATAGTTGTGGGTTAGTTTGTTTGTTTTCAATGATTATTTATAATGGAAGGAGGTCACACAAGGAAAAAAGGGGAGACATAATTATAAATTGGAGCTCTGGTGATGCAGTGATTAAGGCATTAAAGTGTTAATCAAAAGATCAGTTGTTCAAACCCACCAGCCCATGCATGGAAGAAAGATGAGGCAGTCTGCTTTCATGAGATTTACAGCCTTGGAAACCCAGTGGGGATTTCTGTGAGTCAAAATCGACTCAATAGCAGTGAGTTTGGTTTTTGGTTAATTATAAATAAATTTTGGCTTTGGCTTGTAATTTGTAGTATAATTGGTGGGACACCCAGAAAGAAATTTAGTAGATATTAATTAAAGATTTTGACATTCTAATTTGATGAGAAGGTACCTCATTCTGTTGCTCATGATCTCCATTGTAACTTGACCTGATTTAGGTTTTGACTTCATTAACAAGCATATTATGTCTTATTCTGGCTTGTTTCTATTAATCCACCTGGGGTAATAAACCTCTCGGGCTTTATGTCCCACTAAACTGTCTTCCTAAAAGGCCCATACTTAATTGTTACAGGATCCTCACAGTGCCCTCCCTTCTAGTTATGTCAGTAATGTTCCTTAAGTATGTTTTCACCACAATAAAAGGAGAAAAAAAATTGTTCCTTAAAAAATGCCAAAATGATCTAGGGGTATTTGGTTTGCAGGGGAATTAAAACATTTAATCCCTAATAATCTAATTGATCATCAGATTTTTAAATAGCTGATTTTGCTTTGTAATAGAATCAAAAGTTATGTTATTTTTTAAAAAATTATAAGGAAAAATATGTTTTTAAACAACTTCATTTTTGTTTTCTCCTAGGTCAGCTGCCTATAACCTTCTGTGTGCCTTAACTTGTACCTTTAATTTGAAAATCGAGGGCCAGTTACTAGAGACATCAGGTTTATGCATCCCTGCCAACAACACCCTCTTTATTGTCTCTATTAGTAAGACATTGGCAGCCAATGAGCCACACCTCACCTTAGAATTTCTGGAAGAATGCATTTCTGGATTTAGCAAATCTAGTAAGTAATGATAATTGTCTTTAATACTAATAGTGATTCTGAGAAGATTCAAAGGAAGCTCTTTCGTTTCAGAATTCTCCAGTGAAGTCATTCACCTTGCCAGCAGTAAGGCTTGATACCTTACATGTCTTTGGACCATTTACAAAGTATTTTTCTCAACGTGTTTCCGTTTAATTAGCTTCAACATTTTACTTCATAGCAGAAAATTCAGATTAGTAGTTTGTAAAATTTCCATGTTGTCCATTCACTTTAGGAAGATAGTCATTTTCTTTCATTCACGTTGACTTTGAACCTTCAGGTTGATTTCATTGTACATGTATGGTTCATGGAGGTGGCACTGGTACACATGCAGGGTTCAGAGTCAGCCCCTGGACTAGGCTTTAATAAATTTCATAAATGATCATCTACTCTTTATAGCTGTCTGTTTTCGTGTAATAGTATAATGTTGTTCTTCTCCCAGCCTATTCCTTAACATTTTCTTCCCTTTTCTTTCTCTCCCCCCAATACTTAAAACATTTTTTTGTTTTTCTACATTCAAACACATTTCTTGATTTTTCTGTGTTGGGTGATAAAAGGCTTTAACAATTCATTGAAATCAGGCCACTAACTTTTTTCTTTGAAATAATGAAATATATAAGAATATAGTCCTAATAAGAAAATATATGAGACTGATTTAAATACAGAACAGTATAAAGCTTTAGAAATACTAATGTGAAAAAATGTATTTGAAAGAATGTACAGGCCTGTCTTGTTCCTGCATAAACAATTCTTTCCAGGTAAATTTACAAATTCTATATAATCCCATCAAAAGTAACTGTGGGATTTTCAGATTGAAAATGGAAATAGAACTTAGAGTGATTCTAAATTTCACTTGAAAGCACAAAAATAACTAAGAATATTGAAAGGAAATGAAAATGAGAGAAATTGGCTTTAACAGATGCTTGGACACATTATAATGGTTAAATAAGAAAAATAGTGATGTTCAAGAATCAGTCATCAGGTCAGTAAGAGAGAGACAGCTTGTCAAAGAACCATCAGAGACTGATGGGGAAACATTAGATCATTTAATAAATGAGATTGGGAAGTGATCACGTTAGGACTTACTTCGTTACAAGATACCAAGATAAGTTTTAGTTACATTGAACAGTTAAATGTAAAAAGTAGAATTATTTAAAGAAAAAAAGGAAGACTTAATTATTTGATAAGGAATGTGGAGCAAAAAGTGATAGAAGGAAGCATAAAGGAAAGGGTGGACAAATTTGGCAACGAAACATCTATTTTGAAAAGTAAAAGGTAAGTAGAAAAACTGGAAAATACAGCAAATGTGAGAAAGTATTAATATATCTAATCATGAAGAGTTCTTAGAAATTAATAAGAAAAATAGATCAACAGTAACATAGATCTTGCTAGCAAGGAATACTTAAAATTTTAGAAGTTCACTAATAAAATCAAAGAAATGAAAATTGAAGAAATAGTGAGATAATGTATTCAGCTATCACATTGGCAGATTAGTCAGTAAAGTGTCCAAATCTTATAACAGCCTGATGAACTTTTGTGTATGAATATGTTAGATGATTACCACCCCAGATCATGATACAGAACATTTCCAGCATCCAGAAGGTTACCTTCTTGGTTAATACCATCACCCCACCAAGGTTAACAACTGTTACGACCTCTATTGCCAGAGAATAGTTTTGCCTATTTTTAAACTTCATATAGCTTTATTTATAATAGCAAAAAAATGGAATAATCTGGAGAGTCAACAATAAAGGACTAAATTACAGGATATAATTATGAAATAATACGAAGCCATTAAAAAACAAGAATTTTACACTTTTTTGTATCTTTTTATAAGTCTCAAGTTATTTCCAAATAAAAAATTTTCATTTTTAATAATGAGTGCAATCGCATATAATTTTTAATGAAACAATATTCAGTACAAAACTGCATGTAGAACATAATTCTAATTTGCTAGATTTGATAGGAAAAATGAAGTGCTACAGTGATATATTAGTATCAGTTGTATTTTTGTGGTGACACTTTTCTTTTACCAAGTTTTCTATGATTTTCATATAATACACTCACCACCCCAGATCATGATACAGAACATTTCCAGCATCCAGAAGGTTCTCCTCTCAGTTAATACTGTCACCCCACCAAGGGTAACAACTGTTATGACCTCTATTGCCAGAGATTAGTTTTGCCTATTTTTAAGCTTATATAGCCTTATTTATAATAGCAAAAATTTGGAACAATCTAAAGGACTAATTACAGACTATAATGATGAAATAATACGAAGCCATTAAAAAAGAGGAATTTTACACTTTTTTGTATCTTTTACAAGTGAAATGTAATAAAATTAATTTAACTAGAGAAGTTATTAAAAGGGGGATAAACAAAACTTTTTGAAAATTGGCTTTACTGGCTTTTCAAATTAATTCCTTCGAGGCTTGTTATCCTCCTCCTCTAATTTCTCTCTTCAGTGATATTTGCCAAGTCTGTTTTCTCTAGGCCTGATAATAGGTAATGGTCTTTGCTTTTTTTTTTTTTAATCCTTTATTTAAATATATCTGTTAATACAATTTTCATTGACCATATATTGGTAAGGGAGCTCTGGTGGCATAGTGCTAAGGCATTTGACTGCTAACTAGAAGGCTGGCAGTTCAAACCCACCAGCCACTCCTCGGAAGGAAGGTTGGGCAATCTACTTCCGTAGTGATACCACCTTGGAAACCCAAGGAGGAGTCGCTGTGAGTCAGATTCAACTTGACAGCAGTGAGTTTGGTTTAGTTTTTATATATTGCTAATAGTATTTTGTTTGCTTTCCAGGTATTGAATTGAAGCACCTGTGTTTGGAATACATGACTCCATGGCTGTCCAATCTAGTCCGTTTTTGTAAGCACAATGATGATGCTAAACGACAGAGAGTTACTGCTATTCTTGATAAGCTGATAACTATGACCATAAATGAGAAACAGATGTACCCTTCTATTCAAGCAAAAATATGGGGGAGCCTTGGGCAGGTATTGCATTTGTTCATATATTTATCTAGTGCTCCTTTGTACAGATACTTATATTTATTTACTCACTTTGTGCAAAACACTGTGCTAGGCACTAGTGATGTAATTGTGGAAAAGACAGTCCCCTCCTTCAGAAAGCATGCAGACACCCACCCAACTTTTGATCTAGTTCAAAACTATAAATGTCTAATCTATGTCTTGGAGTCATAGGAAAAACTAGTTATTTTAGCACACTCCTTCATAGCATAATTATAAAGAATTTAACTGCAGAAATTTGATATTGTTTCTAATAAATAGTGCTTTGTAATGTATCCTAGTACCCTGTACAACATGAGTGTGAGTAATTTTTTCTTTTTTTTTTTTTTCAGCAATTCAGGACACCTGTTTCCATTTATAGTTCTAGCTAGCATAAGAATGTCAATATTAAAATGCAGAGTATAGTGTAACTTTTTTTATTCTGATAAGAATTGTGCATATTATTTCTTTAAAGTGATCACTTAATTAAGAAGCAGTGCACATACTCAAGCAGTAACTTACTCCCAGTGATTCTGAGTGCCCTTGGAATCGGTTTCATAGTCCTAGAAAACATCTCAGTACTTGGATGTCATTTCCTGTATTTTAAAATAATTCTGTTTTATATTGGTCATACATCACTGTCTTAGAAGAGCATGCTTTGCAAGTGAACAAAGTTAATATAGAGAGAGATTTTACGTTTTGAATCCCGATCTCTTAATGTCTGAAGGAATCATGTGAATATCCTTACCCATTTCTGGGTATTTTATGATGTTATATTTGCTGACCAGAACCAGTGACCATTGAGTTGGTTCCATCTAATGGCAGTCCCTTGTGTATCAGAGTAGAATTCCATAAGGCCTTCAATGGCCAGTGTTTTTTTGGAAGTAGACTGCCAGGCCTTTCTTCGGAGGAACTTCTGGTGTTCTCAAACCTCCAACCTGTTTGTTAGCAGCCAAGCATGTTAACTGTTTGCACAAAAACCTGTCCATATTTGCTGACAGGTCTCTAGATAAATAGTACTTTGGAGGCCTTCAAGTGAAATAGAGAGGATTTTCATGCTGAGTAGGCCCATTCTTGAATAGTTTTAATTGAAAATTAAGTTGGTAGAGTGAATAAGACATAAGTTTATTATTCCCCCTTTCCATTAGATTACAGATCTCCTTGATGTTGTACTAGACAGTTTCATCAAAACCAGTGCTACAGGTGGCTTGGGATCAATAAAAGCTGAGGTGATGGCAGATACAGCTGTAGCCTTGGCTTCTGGAAATGTGAAATTGGTTTCAAGCAAGGTAATCTCTTTTCCTTTGGCTTCTGAACTATGGTATGATTTATCAATTAGCAGGAGAGTTTTTGTTTTATAACTAGTTGGTTTAAAATAAACTGGAATTTTCTGTGATAAAGCATTTCATCCTTACATTTGCAAAAATTCTTTTTTCCCCCAGGTTATCGGAAGGATGTGCAAAATAATAGACAAGACATGCTTATCTCCGACTCCTACCTTAGAGCAGCATCTTATGTGGGACGATATTGCTATTTTAGCACGCTACATGCTGATGCTGTCCTTCAACAATTCACTTGATGTGGCTGCCCATCTCCCCTATCTCTTCCATGTTGTTACTTTCTTAGTAGCAACAGGCCCACTGTCCCTGAGAGCTTCCACACATGGATTGGTCATTAATATCATTCACTCTCTGTGCACTTGTTCACAGCTTCATTTTAGTGGTAAGTTCCAGGAAAGTAATTTGTTTCACTAACTCCTTTCTTTGTTCATTTTGTACTACCTGATTACCATAGAGTATCTTTTGTGCTAATTTAAGCTTGCAGTAATGATATTAAATATTACCCAAAAGAAAAAGAATAAGTTATTTGGCATGAACTTCTGTTCCACATCAAGCTGTAGTATAGATTTTCTGTGCCTAGTAGTCATGTAGACACTCATAAGTTGTCACACAAGTTACAAACTTAGCATCACTGTACAGTGTCTATCTCCAGAAATTATTTTGTAGGTAAATTGAACTAAAGCAAGTAAGCATAAAGTATATACAGGTTTTGTTTGGGGAGCATGGTTAAGTAATTCTGATATGATACTCATTTTCCAAATTTAAAATTTGGAATTAAAAAATAAAAGTCTTTTTCCTTTTTCTTTCACAGAAGAGACCAAGCAAGTTTTGAGACTCAGTTTGACGGAGTTCTCGTTACCCAAATTTTACTTGCTGTTTGGCATTAGCAAAGTCAAATCAGCTGCTGTCATCGCCTTCCGATCCAGTTACCGGGACAGATCATTCTCTCCTGGTTCCTATGAGAGGGAGACTTTTGCTTTAACATCCTTGGAAACAGTCACAGAAGCTTTGTTGGAGATCATGGAGGTATATAAGGCAAAGTAATAAGAAACTAAGTTAAATCATTTATCTAAATCCACTAGTGCTATATAGAAGAGATACTGGTTTGTTCTGCTGTTTTATACTTACTATGCTTAAGTAAAAACATAAAATATGTTTCTTGCTAATATGTGTGCCATTATATTTGCTTCTAAAAACATTTATGTATGTAAATGTATTCAGAGTGTTCTTTGTTTAGGCATGTATGAGAGATATTCCAACTTGCAAGTGGCTGGACCAGTGGACAGAATTAGCACAAAGGTATGTCTCCATTAAATATAAGCTGTAAAAGTAATATGTTTGTTGAAAAGATAGATACTACTGCATAATCAGTATTTCAGTTCATTATTCATTATAAATGTGTGTGCACACAAAAGTTTTCATGAGTTGTTCGGATCTTTTAATTGCAGATTTGCATTCCAGTATAATCCATCCCTGCAACCAAGAGCTCTTGTTGTCTTTGGCTGTATTAGCAAACGCATATCTCATGGGCAGATAAAGCAGATTATCCGTATTCTTAGCAAGGTACTCCTCCCTCCCCCAATATTTGTGACTCCCAAGTTGTGAAGCACACCTTCCTTTTTCCTAAAGGACATTTAAATTTGAATTTAATAAAATGTTTTGTATACTTCTTATTAAACCTTTTGAAAATGGGTTTTAATTATTTCATTATAATTCTTTGAAGTGAAGAAATCCTTTCTAAAGAAGATACCTTAACAAGAGAGTATTGTATCTTGCTAAGCAAATAGCTTTAATATTTTAACAGTTTGCAAAGCAGTTACCAAGACTAGATAGATAGCCTTATATTAAGTTGTATGATTTGTAATTACTATAATAATGCCTGACTTATAATTAATACAGAAATATTTGAAAAAAAAAGATCCAACCAAATGCATTGAGCTTGCTACCAAAATCATCACAGCATTGGAAATAATTCTAGCATTTATTATTAAATAAGTAAATGTTCCTGACTCATTCTGAGATTCTGTTAACTACATTTTATTTCAATGTCAGTGAAATAAAGAATTCTCTTTCCCTAAAATAGGCACTGGAAAGTTGTTTAAAAGGACCTGATACTTACAACAGTCAAGTTCTGATAGAAGCTACAGTAATAGCATTAACCAAATTACAGCCACTTCTCAATAAGGTAATTACTGTGTAAAAAATGAGTGCGTTTATTTTGGGTATCGGTTTTAAATGTTATTTTCTTTCAGAGAGTTCAGAAATAAAGTTGAGGAGAAGTTATTAGGAAAAAACTATAGTAGGGAGCGTACCCAAGACCATGTATAGGGTTGGCAGACAATGATTCTACAAGTGTATTTGTATGATCTGTAAGAATTCCCAGGGGTATAGTAGAACTGACAAGGGCCAAGGTTGCAGGCACTTCTTGGTCATAGCCAGCTACCCAGAGGGAGCGAATAATTGAACCTGTGGGCTCGGGACCATAATAATCGCAGGAGGCATCAAGCTCAATTGGCATAACATACCACACAAAACATTGTTCCACCTCCTACTTTGGCAAGTAGCAACTAGGATCTTAAAAGCTTGCAAGCAGCCATCTAGATGCAATGATGGGTCTCTCCTTGTTCAGAGCAAAGAAGAATGAAGAAAACAAAAGATTCATGGAAACAATTACTCCTTGTGACTGGTAAACCACACGATCCTCAGCCTATACGACTATGAGACCAGAAGAACTAGATGCTGCCCAGCTACCGCTGTCAACCACTCAGGGGGGATCTATGTAGGAGATCCTGGATAGAGAGGGAGAACAATGTGGAACAAAACTCAAAATCATTTGGAAAAAAAAAAAAAAAAGGGGGGAGACCGGGTTTGCCTGGTGGAACCACTGAGACTATGGTCCCTAGCTGCCCTTCAGGTCTGGAATTGAACCCACACCTGTGGCTTCCAGCCAAACAAAAGACAGGCATATGAGTTGAACATGTACCAGAGGTAGATACACTCCTTGGAGAGAACAATCATGGGAGAAAGAAGGGCTGTGTATACACAGAGAGACAGTTCAGGGGGCAGGAGTGCATGGAGGGATGGACACAGGGAAGAGGTAACCATAGGGAAGTGGGAGGGGAGCTGTTGCATTGGGGTAAATTGTAGTCAATGTCATGAGACAACATGTATGTGAACTGTTGTATGAAAAGTGAATTTTCTCTGTAAACTTTCACCCAAATCATAATAAAAAGAAGAAGAAGCTATAGATAAAATAGAAAATCTTCTTATAAAGTTCCGGTGTTGGAAGTGTTTATATTAGAGGAAGAATAAGGAGAGTAAGTTCTCAAGGGCTTGTGAGATTTTTTTTCCTCATCAGTGGTAGAAGAAAGATAGGTATATATTCTTAATTATTTTATCTAGTAAATATTAAGTGAGCATGTATTATGTGCCAGATACTGTTTTAGATGTTAGAGATAACAATACTGAACAAAGCCAGTAAAATTCCTTATCCTCTCACTCTGGGGTGGGTAGATAATAAACAAAGTAAGTAAATACGTCGTATCCTAATTAGTGATCATTACAGTGAAGAAATGTAAAACAGAGAAAGATATATCTGATCATCAAAAGAGTTTAGGTGCTAAATGAAGATGATATTTAAAAGGGGTAAAGTGATATGGCCACTGTTTTACGATAGTCTGACGTCATCTCAGCTGTGTGACCTTGAGTGGGTCATTTAACGTATTTGGACATCATGTTTCCACATTGATAAAATATGTGAACTACACTAGATGATAGCATAGTACAATCTTCCAAGTTTAAAGTTACATAATTCTGTTAATTGAGTACAGAGATATACCAGACTTGAGAGAAATAAATATTTACTGTGTTCTTGGTTATGAGTTATATGTTCTACAAGCATCCTAATCCTAAATTGCACAAAATGGTTTCCTCATCCTCATAAGTAAAATTGAGGCTCAGAAGGCTAAGTAATTAGACTGAGATCACACACCGACTAAATGACAGACCTGTGATTCTGATTCAGGGCTATCTGACCTAAAGCCCACTTTCTTTCCCACATACCACACCACTGAGAATTACTAAAGAATAAAGATTTCTCATTCAGAGATTACTGGTAAGAGTAACAAGAAAGCTGAAAGGTAAATGTTAAACTAAATTTAAAGATTTAGTGTAGGTAGAACGAAGAGGAGAGAGCCTTGGGCAGCAAAGGTACAGTGTAGATTGTACAGGATTTCTAGGACAAGGCAGGTATGATGGGTAGACCATTGTAGTTGGAATGGATACACTATTCAGGAGCATAGTGGAAGGGAAGGTTGTAAAGATTAGGTGGAACTAAGGTAGCATTCCATATTCCTCAGAAAGGAGTTTAGAAATTTGCCTGTTTAACTTTTAAACAGACAAGAAATAATGATAAAAGCAAGGTCATTCTGGAGGGTTTGTGTGTAGTAGATTTGAGTAGGGAGAAACTGGAGGCAGAAAGAATCCACGTTTAGAACAGAAAAGGTTGCCATGGGACATTGTCATTAGCAATAGGAAAGAAAGGTGGCAGATGCAAAAAGAAGAATCAATAAAACTTGGTGAATGGATTTGGGAATCAAAGGAGATGATAAGTTTCTCACTCAGCATGGCTAATAACAATGTCTTTAGTAATGCACATAGAAAAGATAAAGAGCTTTACTCATACATATTCAAAAAAGAAAACATGGGTAATTTGGGTAGATAACAGGCTTCATTTTATACTGCAGTTTGTTTTGAACAGGATTATCGCATGGTTCATTTTGCTAACGAGAAGTTGCCTCCTTTGCCAGGATTCCCCTTTGCACAAAGCTCTTTTTTGGGTAGCTGTGGCTGTCCTGCAGCTTGATGAGGTCAATTTGTACTCAGCAGGCACTGCACTTCTTGAACAAAATCTGCACACCTTAGACAGTCTCCGGATATTCAATGACAAGGTAAATATACTTTCCCTTTATTCAAATTTAGAAGTCCACCCTCTGTTACTATTTTTCTTTTAAAATCATAAGGGGTCTATAACTTACAAATTAATTTCTAGAATGCCGTTATGAGTATAGTTCATTACCAGCTCATAAAAAAAGCTGTTTAATTTATATTTTCTGTATAAAAGTAGCAGGAAATAATACTGGCTCATGACTAATAAACAAAAAAGGAAAAAGTACTGGGGGGAGCAAATGGTTAAGCAGTCTCCTACTAGCTGAAAAGTTGGCAGTTTGAATGCACCTAAACCGGCCAGGTGATCTATTTCCGAAAGGGCACAGCCTTGAAAACCCTGTGGAGCACAGTCCTCTGCACTCGTGAGGTCACCGTGGGTTGAAATCGACTCGATAGCAGGCAGAACAACAGCAAGGTTAGCTCCAGTCCCTCATTTCACACACAAAGAAACAGTTAAAGATAAGCTTGTTTTTATTGAATGACGATACTTAATGAAAAGTAGGTATAGTTAGAAGCAATTAAGGAAGTTGGAGAGTCTAAAGGGAACTTGTGGGTCCTTAATTTTACTAGTTATTTGTTTTGCCTATTATTACCTTAAAACATACATTAACATACCTCTTAACATTTATCAACCTTGATTGAGGTTGGATTTTGGCCTACAGAGGAAAGAATGAAACAGTGTGAAATTATGCTCCTTTTGTCTTTGGAGAGTGAGAGAGTCTAAGAGAGAAAAAAAGAAGACTTTAAAAAAAAAAAAAAAAGACAGATGGATGCATACAAGAGCTTTGCTTAAAGTGAATTAATGGATCTCTAAGTAGAAAGAAACAAAGGGAGAACAGGACCATGGTCTTAAGTGGCCTTCCTTAATGGTTAGGTACTCTATCTAACCAGATGTTTTATGGACCCAGAACAGCTGATGGTTGGGAGTTGGGAAAACAAAATTTTAAAAGTAAGGAGAACTAGAAATTTATCAATCAAAATAGAAGGGAACTAAGAAGTTAAGTAATTTAACTTTGTACTCGTTGGATACCTTTTAAAATGTAGAAGTGTTACGTTTTTATATCTGGTTTGAGATTAGAACCCCTCTTGCCTATTTTCCTATGCTGTTTTTTGGGATTGTCTTGGAACAGTGGTGATCAGGATGAAATTTAGTTATTTACTCTTTATATGTAAAGAATATTTACAAACAACATTTGTTGTTTATATCTCAGGCATACCTGCTTTGGTGTGTTCATTGCCAAAACAGTTCAGTACTGGGAGTCAATATTGAATCCAGTGTCCCAGGAATCCTAGGAATCAGATTTAATAAAGCTTTGTTTAAAGCCATCAGGATGTAAATTGACAAGTTATTTATTTTTCCTTACATATTAAAGCTATTTCATCTTTAGCCGTCTTATTATTTATATGCTTAACAGTGTTGTACTAATTCATCTGTAGAACCTTAAGTTTTCTTCGTGGCTTTCTGCAGTCATCTGAAAATAATATCTCTCAATTTAAAAGGATATTTATCTTGTCTGTTTGTTGAACTAATGTTAGCTTATTAAATACAAACTAAAGCAAGTAAGTGATCGTTTAAGAAAAGCCTGGAAACATTGCTCTATGGTGGGATAAATGGGTGGACAGGCTAAACTATTAGATATGTCTATGCAGGGGGTATTGTGCCCATGTCCATGTATAGGGTTGGCAGACAATGTTTCTACAAGTGTATTGGTATGTTCTGTAAGACTTCCCAGGTAGAGAATAATGTGGAACAAAACTCAGAATAATTTGGGGGGGAATAAAAGAGAGGGGCCATATTTTGCTGGTTTGATGGAGCCTGATGGAGCCACTGAGACTATGGCCCCTAGCTGCCCTTCAGGTCTGGAACTGAACCCATACCTGTGGCTTCCAGCCAAACCAAAGACAAGCATATGAGTTGAACATTTACCTGAGGTAGATACACTCCTTGGAGAGAACAATCATGGGAGAATAGAAGGGCTGTGTATGCACAGAGAGACAGCTCAGAGGGCAGGAGTACATGGAAGGAAGGACACAAGGAAGAGGAAACTATCAGAAGGAAGTGGGAGGGGAGCTGTTGCATTAGGGTAAATTGTAGTCAATGTCATGAGACAAAGTATATGTGAGCTGCTGTATGGAAAGTGAATTTGCTTTGTAAACTTTCACCCAAATCGCAATAAAAATTTTTTAAAAAAGCACCTGGGTAAACCTCATCAACCATTTCATGATTGTCTTTAATAGAGTCCAGAGGAAGTATTTATGGCAATTCGGAATCCTCTGGAATGGCACTGCAAGCAAATGGATCATTTTGTTGGACTCAATTTCAACTCTAACTTTAACTTCGCGCTGGTTGGACACCTCTTAAAAGGTAGAAGTGTTATGTTAGAATATTTTTATGAAATAGTATCAAGAAGCCAGAAGTAATGAAAAGGAATCTATTTAGTAGTAATTTGGCCCATATGTCTTACTTTAAATGCAAAATACATGTGTCTTACTATGTTTTTTGTTCAGTCTGTATTTTAATAGAGCCTGATTTTCACGTCACATATCAGATTTCCTTAAAAAAGCAAGAGTTAATTATTAGTAAAAGACCTAAGTACTGAATGTTCTGATACTTGTATAATCAGTTACAGTACTAAAGCATCTTGTTAATTATCAAAATAAGACAGACTATAAATCACCAAGTGTTGTTTGAGTAACAATTTATATTGGAAAATGTTATCTTAGAGATTTGATCATAGGTTTTCTCCAACTTTATTATTTATCATATTCCATAGAACTTTACCTTTCTGCTACCTCCCTTCCCCTTCCAAATTTCTCTATTGCTTATAGCCAGTGATGGCCAACTATTCCTCAGAGAATAGCCCAACTTGGCTTTACTTCACAGTGCTGACTTCACTGTCTTCTAGGTTTTGTGTATTATTGTGGGGTAGCCACGGCCAGACACTGTATAGTTAACTCTTTTGTGACTTGTGAGACATATGTATCCACCTACATTTTCCACCTTGGGTGTAGTGGGATCTCCTATCCCACTTTTAGTGTGTGCTGCCATCTGATGGGGGCCTGCGTAACTGCGTGAATCTGAAGAAAATGGCCTCATCCCACCAACCCCAGCACCAGACCCCTCAGGATGTATGTGTCCCACTAATTGTATCAAAATCTGTATTACCTCAAAAAAATTTTTTTTCCATTTCATTCAGAATACCTTCCATTACTGAAAACGCTTGGTTTCAGCAAAAATTCAAAGCAGAAAATAATTTGTTCTTGAAAAGGGTTAGTAGGGATAGCGTACAGTACTGGTTTAGGGGCAAAAGCAGGAGCTCTGGTAGCATAGAGCCTAAGGCACTTGACTGCTAACCAGAAGGCTGGCGGTTCAAACCCACCAGCCACTCCTCAGAAGGAAGGTTGGGCAATCTACTTCAGTAATGATACTGCCTCGGCAACCCAAGGAGGGGCGCTATGAGTCGAGTCCAACTTGCGGGCACATAACAACAACAACAACAACAGGAGCAAAAGCAGTGAGTAAGGCCTTGGATAAGGAGTTGGCATTAACCAATAGCTTAAAGCAGCACTGGATTTGGCCATAATAGAGAATCAAGCTAGAGCTTGACTCCAGTTTTGTATTAGTTTAAATAATTATTAGGCTTGCAGGATTGTGGACGTTCCTCCAGTTTTTGCCTATTAAGTATATATGTACACACATACGTCCATGACTGTGAATATTTGGTTTCATCATCTCATAAATTCATAAAATATCTATTAAAAAATGATAGTTTTAATCTCTAAGCTGAATGGGGATATTTTCAGTGTTCAAATCCCCTCTTTTAAAATAGAGTAAAAATAAGAAGTAAAAGCTGGCCAAAGATCAAACTTACTCTCTAATCAGACCTATTCTTTAAGCTCTTAGTGTATCTACTTCCTTTGTCATTGGTTTTTTTTTTTCCCCCTTTTAATTAAAAACATAAGCAAACAAAATCTTAAGGTGAACTCTAAAACCTAGATTTTTTAAATTGAAAAATTCCTGCACCACGTTGAGGAGTAGAAGATCAGAAATACTGTTATTAACTTCCCTGTTCCAGGGAACATTGTTCTGGTGGCATAGTACCTAAGGCACTTGACTGCTAACCAGAAGGATGGCACTTCCAACCATCAGCCATTCCTCGGAAGGAAGGTTGGGCAATCTACTTCTGTAGAGATACCACCTCGGAAATCCAGGGAAGCGTTGCTATGAGTTGGATCCGACTCAATGGCAGTGAAAGAGAGATGCATTTTGGCCACTTAATCATTTATATACTTAAGTAACTGTTCACATATGTATGTTTTATCTTTCCAAATGTCTCTTCTTGTAAGGCAGGAGTTAGCCCTTATACATATTTTATATACCCCTTTAGTGCCTTACAAAGTTGCTTGTCACAGAATAAGAACTCAGCAAATGCTTGGTGAAACAATGAATTAACTTCATGTTTATTTTTATTTTCTGTAGGGTACAGGCATCCTTCACCTGCCATTGTTGCGAGAACAGTCAGGATTTTGCATACACTGCTAACTCTGGTTAACAAACACAGAAATTGTGACAAATTTGAAGTGAATACCCAGAGTGTGGCTTATTTAGCAGGTAAAAACACAAAATAGACAACATCAGTCTTACTGCATCTTTAGTTAAGCATCACCAAAGAAGCTGAAATACCTGGGGTTCTTTTAGCTGATTGATTGGTAGGGTGAAGAGTTCACAGACTAGGCCTGTGGTGGTGTTGAAATTTTTGAAAGTTCTGCAAACATTTTTCCTTTTGAAAGAATTTGCATTAAAATTTGAAATGTGTTCCTTTATCCTTTATCCTTCTGGTTAGAGAAACTACCCTGGCACCCAGTTGTGTGCCATAAAACCTGCACCCCTCAGCCTAGTGTGCTGGGCCCTTAGGCAGCCCTGACTCAGTCCTCTTCCTCCAAGTTTTGTGAGCCTTATTTTTTCTTGCTTCTCCAAATGGATGGGCTATTTTAAGCTAATCTACTTGCCACCTCCTAAAGTGACTTTGTGCCTCTTCAGTATTCATTGCTTATGCTTTTACTCTACCTGGGATGTCTGCCCCATACTCCCCCCAACCCCATTCCATTAACCTTCCCTATTTGCCCTTACCTGATTTATGTTTCTCTACTCAGCAATACTTAACCCTTATGTGTAATACATTTCTTTAAAATAGTCTTTAGTGGGAAGTGCTGATTCCCAGTTTAGCACAGTTTGTGGGAACATTTTTGTATGAATGATTTAACGTCTTAGGACATCTTTTTCCTCATCTAAAAAATGGACCTCCTACCTGCCCTGCCTTTTTTTTTGTATCTGTTGAGATCAAATATAAATTAAAGCACTTGTCAAATAGAAGATGTTCTATTAAATCTCTTTATGTAGTTCTCATTTATTTACAATCTTTCAAAATACACCATAAAGCCTTTAAGTAAGCAAGTCTGCCCTGTGTACATCCTTAAACCTCACATTCTGTAAGACTCTTTACATGTGTGTTTTTAATAAGCTATTGTCCTTAAGATGGTAAGGAGTGTATCCTGTTTTAAGTCATACTTTCACATCTGCCTTCTTTTTTCTCTTAGCTTTACTCACAGTGTCTGAGGAAGTTCGAAGTCGCTGCAGCCTAAAACATAGAAAGTCACTTCTTCTTACTGACATTTCAATGGAAAATGTTCCTATGGATACATATCCCATTCATCATGGTGACCCTAGCTATAGGTGAGTAAACTTCTTCTCCCATAATCACATAATTACCAGGTTTCCGTTTTTCATGCAAACGGAGGAAGTCAGAGTAATCTAGAACATAATTTAAAGGGGACTCTTGGGATAATCTAGGAGGAGTGTGTAAATCAAAACTCATTTTATAAATTTGCAGTACTTTATAGGGGTTATTAATAGGAAAGTTAAGAGATGATCTTGAAAATACTGGGTTGTAGGAAAGAGCCTAAGAAGAAACTAACATGAAATATAAGCAACATTAACAAAATGTTTATAAATTGTTGGATGGGAAACTAATTTACTCTGTAAACTTTCACCCAAACTACACTTTCAAGAAAAAAAAAGAAATACAAGCAACATACTTAATGATAAAAACTAAGCTGTACTGATTTTGTAAAAACATATACATACAAAGACATTAGTATTTATTATATCATACTAAAGTTATTAAATTTCCTATGGTACAGATTTAGATTATTAAATCATCAAATTATGTCCATTGTTGTTCATGGTTTTGGATGGTATGTTTTTCATTATAAAATAGAACTTATGAAAAGCTTCCTGAAAATGGTGTCATTTGGGGACTTTTCTATATTTTCAATTAAATGAAAGTATCCTTAGTTTAAGTATAGTGTTGAACACAGAAAGCACTCTATTTATATGATTCAACTTAGCAACATCCCGCTCTTTTGAGGGGAGGGGATTTTGTTGTTGTTGTTATTTGGGTGAAAGTATACAGAGCAAATCCGTTTTCCATTCAGTGATTCATGTATGTTTGTTTCATGTCACTGATTGCAATCCCCTCAATGTACCATCACTCCTCCTACTTCCTCCCTGTGTTTCTCATTTCATTCCTCCTCCTCTCCTAACCCTTCCTGCCTTCTGAACTTTGCCCTTTTGTTCTCGAATGGTTGACTGTTCTAAGGAGGGCTTACCTCCTAGACCTCTCTGTTGTTTAGCTGAAAATTGAGCCATGGGGGTGGGTTCTGTTCTAGGCACAAACTATGACTGAGGGCCATCATCTCAGGGGTTCCTCTAGTCTCTCTCCAACCAGTAAGTCTGGTCTTTATGTGTTTTGTTCCACATTTCTCTCTGTTTCTATCCAGGAACATCCCACTTTTTGATAAAAAGCCCTCAACAGTTTCTCACTGAGATTTTTTAAATCTTTGCAAAAGTTTTTCTGAGCATAACTGGTTTTGATGGTCTTAGTCTTTAGTCAGGAGGCCTGGTGGTCCAGTGGTTACGTGCTCAGCTGCTAACCTAAAGGCTGGCAGTGTGAATCCACTCATTGCTCCACAGGAGAAAGATGTGGCCATCTGCTTCAATAAAAATTACAGCCTTGGCAACCCTGTGGGGCACTTCTGCTCTGTCCTGTAGGATCACTGTGACTCAGCATTGACTCGGCAGCAGCATGTTTGGTTTATTACCAGGATTATATTTTCTTGGAGAAAAATGTAGGCCCTTTTTACTATGGAAAGAAGAAAGTGAGTTTCCCTGTGTTCCTTTGTCAAAGTATAAATTAAAGTTGATTTCCTTAATTTTTAAACCAAAAATAAAATCACCTATTTATGCTTGATTTACCCTGACTAAAATATGAATGCAATACAATTTTGTTTAGCATTTGGTAAGTACCTACTGTGCACAAGATTACCATGGCAAGAATGTTGATATTTCCTAGGGTTACATTAACAGTTAGTACCTTAAAACCCCTTAAAGTGCTGTTTTAAAATTGATTGTTATCATTGGGAAATGGACTACTCAGAAGGGACAAATAGTGGTTGTATTTGTGACCATGTTAATTAATTCTTGATTATTTAAATCTCTCAGGACACTGAAGGAGAATCAGCCGTGGTCCTCTCCCAAAGGTTCTGAAGGGTACCTTGCAGCCACCTATCCAACTGTGGGCCAGACCAGTCCTCGAGCTAGGAAATCCATGAGTTTAGATATGGGGCAGCCTTCCCAGGCCAACACTAAGAAGTTACTAGGTTAGTTCATCTTAAATTATTTAGATTTTTCTTTTTTTAAAAAATTTGTAAAGCATATACCTAAGACATTTAACTGCTAACCGGAAGGCTGGAGGTTCAAACTTACCAGCCACTCCTCAGAAGGAAGATTGGGCAGTCTACTTCCATAGAGATTCTGCCTCTGAAACCCAAGGAGCGGTTGCTGTGAGTCAAACCAACTCAACAGAGTTTGGTGTTTGATTTTTTTGGTTTAAAGCAGATACACTTGGGAAATTATTTGAAACTGTTCAGTATCAAGTTTTTCTGTTTTCATTTAGCAAAGTTTTGACACCAATTATGAAAGAGTTTGATAAATCAGTTAAGATAAAGGAATGAGAATGGCATCTTGAAACAGTCTTTTTAAAAACACTGTGGCTGTCTGCTTGAGTAATTTCTCTTAGAAAAACCAGCATAAGGCTGGTTCCCATGAGGCAGAGGTTAAAGATGGCCCAGATGTCCAAACTACCGTGCCACTCCATCATTTCGGACATTAATTCCTCTTCCTCCTCTCAGTAATCTTCCCCTGTCCTAGGGTTCTGTATTTCACTGTAATGCCTCACAGAACTCACAGACACCCAAGGGATCATCTCATGTAGTGGTGAGGGAGGCTGGCAGGCTGGCAAGTCCCAGGTCTGTAAGTAGGTCTGGAGAATCCCCCAATTCTCAGGGTTTGACGAACCTCAATTAGCAGATCAGATGACGGCTGCTGTCCCAAATCCAGGGGTGAGATGACGATGAGCCAAAATGCAGAATCAGAGCAAGAGGAGGGTGAACCTTCCCAGGAGATTCATAGGTATAACCTCAAGGAAGCTAAGGGTGGTGCTTTGAGTTATACCCTCTAGCAAGGTGGGACTCAAGATACTTCCCACCTGCCTGCTCCAACAGAAATAGCCCAAGGGGATGGCTTTAACCATCAGCAGCTACTCAGTTGCTCAAGACAAATCCCACCACAGAGCCAATTGCCAGTCATTATAGGGAATGACTACTACCAGCTGCCCAGCCAAATTGACACCCGACCTTAACTACCACACCACCTTAAACAGTCATGGATAATAGGATTTACAATACATCACAAAATGGAGGACAGTGGCTGGAATGGACACATTGCACTATTCATCACACTCTCCTTGTTTTGTTCTGCCTTGGCCAATAGCAAGGAAATGGGAGTGGGAGAGACTTTAGATGCCTACAGGAAAGGAAGAGTCTTACTGCTCTCAGGTGCAAGCTCTTGAACGATACTATATTTTCCAAAGTTGTCATCTGAAAACAGAAAATATCAATATAGTATGACACTGTAAAAACACTCTTTGTCATCTTTTCTTTGAAAAAACAAAGTGGTAAGATAATGTATTTTCAGATTACTATAAGAAGACGTGATTCTTAAAAGTTAAGGTTGTTCACTTACATCAACATTTGTCAATGAAAAGTGCACCTAAAATGCTGTGGAACTCTTTCCCTTTTCCATAGCGAAAAGTAGATTAATGAAAGATGCCACTGGTCCCACCACACCCCAGAGGAAATGCAAAGTGCTCTTATAGGACTTTGACTAAAGTTTAATTGTTATTGGAATAGTGTATACTGAGATTAGTGTTTTAGTGACCAACACCAACCGAATGGCTCAGTGAGTCTCAGTTTTCTGTACAAGCATGTTTGAGTATCTTTAGGTATTAGGAACATGTTTGTGTTCATAAGGAAATCAGTGAACAGTCAATCACTGAACTGTGAAGTAAATAACCTGTCAGTAAACTATGAAATAAATAGAAATCATGAATGTTTGTCACTGAGGTGTATTACCTTTTGTTTGAGATTTCTTCAGTTAATACTTTGACCACAATCTGCAGTGAATTTCCTGGTTGCTTTGCGTTTTGTAACTCCGGGTTTTCATACCAAGCAAGTTATAAATGAAAAGCTAACCACAGAGAAAATCCAGTTTTAAATTCATTCAATCCATGTGCTAGATGAAAAAGATAAGATCACTTTCCTGGAAGAACTCCTAGATGGTGGCCAAGACATATATCATTAGCTGATTACAGCAGCATCCCCAGATGCAATTAAAGTAATATGGATAGTCTGGTGTCCTCAGGGAGAAGGGGTAACTAAAGATGTGGGAAAATTAGGAAAAGCTGCAGAGAGAATGTAGCATTTGAGCTGGGTCTTAAAGATTTAGCAGTTGCTCACCAGGTAGACACAGGATAAGGAAAGTCATTCAAGAGCAGGTGAATAGCACAAAGAAAAAAGTCAGGAAAAGCAGTAACTGTAAAGGGATCACAGGGGATGGTATAGAAAATGAAGTCAGAGAAGAACTAAAACTAAATTGTAAAAGACTCTGCACCAGGTTGAGGAATTCATATAGCCAGCAGGATTGTTAAGCAGGGAAGGGGTGTGATCAAATCTTAGTTTTAGGAAAGTTTTTCTGGCAGTGGTGTGGGAAAATAGGAAGAGATTTGGGGGGGGGGGGTTTGTTTTTGTTTTTGTTTTTGCAAAGGGACCAATTAAGAGATTGATGCAACAATCCAGGACCTTCCTGCCACCCCCCACCCACCCAGAGAAATAGAAGATATAAGCCTGTGATTGTAAGGCAAGAGCAGTGGGAGAATAGAGGACAGAAATCAGCTTGGGATAGATTTCTGAAGTAGGATGGACAACATTTGGTTCCTGACTGATGGGGCCAGGGAGGGAGGGAGAAGTCTCTGAAAGATGTCAGAAGTTTCTTGCTTCAGAGACTGGCTGGATGAATATTCTGTTTGTAGAGATTGACACTAATGTGTTTGCAGTACAGGATAAATTTAGGTTGATGTATTTAAGATCCCTTCATGATCTCTAGGAGTATATTCAGAGGGTAAGGGAAAGGTATATCTGGAGTTCAAAAAGAGAGATACAGATGAGTGACACATTTCAAATTCATTCGCTCAAATGTAGTTGAAGCTACTGGAGAGGAAGGAGATCCACAGGAAGAGTATATAGAGTTAAAAGGAAGAATGATGACAGTAGGAAAATGAAATAGAATGGTGCCCTGCTCTTATACACTGTGCAGAGTACTAACTGGTTGTTAGAAAACCTGAGTTTTTAGTCTGATCATTAACTGGATCCCTAGCCATGTGACCTCAGGCCAATGAGTTAGCTTTCCTCATTGTACATGTATGTAAAATGAAGAGGTTGAACTAGATCATTTGGGCTGTGAAATTATTTAGCCTTGATATTTATGATTATTTAGGAATATTTATTAGTATTAATACTTGAGGTTAATAGAACATTATATATTATGTGCCTTAAGCATTCAGTTTTCAGATTTTACTGTATCGCTGTTATAGTTCTTGTTGTTAGGTGCTGTCAAGCCAGCCCCGACTTACAGTGATTCAGTGTACCACAGGGGAACACTGCCCAGTCCTGCGTCAGCCTCACAATCCTTGCTATACCTGAGCCCATTGTTGCAGCCACTCTGTCAGTCGATCACATTGAGGGCCTTCCACTTTTTTCACTTTACCAAGCATGATATCCTTCTCCAGGGAATGGTCCCTTCTGACAACATGACCGAAGTAGATGAGACAAAGTCTGGCCATTCTCCTTCCAAGGAGTATTCTGGCTGCACTTCCTCCCGGACGGTTTTGTTTGTTCTTCTGGCAGTCCATGATACTTTTCGGTATTCATCACCAACACCACAACTCAAAAGCATCAACTGTTCTTCAGTCTTCCTTCTTCATTGTCCAGCTATCTTATACATATGAGGTGATTGAATATACCATGGCTTGGGTTAGGTGCACCTTAGTCTCCAAAGAGACATCTTTGCTCTTCAGCACTTTAAAGAGGTCTTTTGCAGCAGATTTGCCCACTGCAATACGTCATCTGATTTCTTGACTGCTGTTTCCATTGGTGTTGATTGTGGAACCAAGTAATATGAAGTCTTTGACAACTTCAGTCTTTTCTCCATTTCTTGTGATGTTACTTACTGGTCCAGTTGTGAGGATTTTCATTTTCTTTATGTTGAGGTATAATTCATACTGTAGACTGTAATATTTAATTAGTAAGTGCTTCAAGTCCTCTTCACATTCAGCCAGCAAGGTTGTGTTTCTGCATATCACAGGTTTTTAATGAATCTTCCTCTAACCTTGATGCCACGTTCTTCTTCATATAGTTCAGCTTCTTAGGTTATTTGCTCAACATGCAGATTGGATAAGTATGGTGAAAGGATACAACCCTGAAGTACAACTTTCCTGATTTTAAATCATGCAGATATCCCCTTGTTCTGTTTGAACAACAGCCTCTTGGTCTATGTAGAGGTTCCTCATGAGCACAGTTAAGTGCTCTGGAATTCCCATTATCCTCAGTGTTATCCATACTTTGTTATGATACACACAGTTGAGTGCTTTTGCATAGTCAATAAAACACAAGTAAACATCTTTCTGGTATTCTTTGCATTCAGCCAAGATCCATCTGACATCAGCAATGATATCCCTCATTCCACATCCTCTTCTGAATCCAGCTTGCATTTCTGGAAGTTCCCTGTCAGTATACGGCTGTACCATTTTTGAATTATCTTCAGCAAGATTTTACTTGTGGGTGATATTAATGATATTGTTCAATAATTTCCACATTCTATTGGATTACTTTTCTTTCAAATGGGTGCAAATAAAGATCTCTTCCAGTCAGTTGGCCAGGTTACTGTCTTCCAGATTTCTTGGCCTAGAGAGTATGTGCCTCCAGTGTGTTGAAACATCTCAGTGGGTATTCCATCAATTCCTGGAGCCTTACTTTTTGCCAATTCCTTCAGTGCAGCTTCAGCTTCTTCTTTCGGTACCATTGATTCTTGATCATATGCCACCTCCTGAAATGGATGAACATTGACCAGTTTTTTTCAGTACAGTGACACTGTATTCCTTCCACCTTCTTTTGATGCTTCCTGCATCGTTCAATGTTTTGCCTATAGAAACTTTCAATATCGCAACTTGAGGCTTAAATTTTTTTCTTCAGTTCTTTCAGCTTGAGAAATGCTAAGTGTGTTAATTCCTTTTTGGTTTTCTAGCTCAAGGTCTTTGTACATTTCATTGTAATAATTGACTTTGTCTTCTTGAACTGCTTTTTGAAATCTTCTGTTCAGCTCTTTTATCTTGTCATTTCTTCCATTTGCTTTAGCTACTCTCCATTCAAGAGCAAGTTTCAGAATTTCTTCTGACATCCATTTTGATCTTTTCTTCCTTTCCTGTCTTTGTAATGAATGACCTTTTGCTTTCTTCGTGGATGATGTTCTTGATGTCATCCCACAATTCATCTGGTTTTCTGTTACTGGCGTTCAGTGAGTCAAATCTATTCTTTAGACGGTCTCTAAATTCAGGTGGGATATGATCAAAGTCATATTTTGGCTCTCATGGACTTGTTTTAATTGTGTTCAACTTCAACTTGAACTCGCATGTGAGCAGTTGGTGATCGGTTCCATAGTCATTCCCTGGCCTTGTTTTGGTCATTTCCATTGCCTCTTGCCACAGATGTAGTCAATCTGATTCCTTCCTGTGTATTCCATCTGGCAAAGTCCACATGTGTAGCTGTTGTTTATGTTGTTGAAATAAGGTATCTGCAATGAATTAGGCATTGCTCTTGCAGAATTCTGTCATGCGATCTCCAGGATCATTTCTATCACCAAGGCCATATTTTCCGACCACTGATGATTCTTCTTTGTTTCCAACTTTTGCATTCTAATCACCAGTAATAATCAACACATCTTAATTGCATGTTTGGTCAATTTCAGACTGCAGAAGCTGGTGAAAATCTTCAATTTCCTCATCTTTGGCTTTGGTGGTTGGTGTGTAAATTTGAATAATAGTAATATTAACTGGCCTTCCTTGCAGGCATATAGATATTATCCTATCACTGACAACATTGCACTTCAGGTTAGATCTTGAAACGTTATTTGTGGTGATGAATGTCATGCCATTCCTCTTCAAGTTGTTATTCCCAGAATAGTAGATCATATGGATACGGTGGTCTGATTCAAAATGGCCAAAACCTGTCCATTTCAGCTGACTAATGCCTAGGATATCACTCTTCATGTGTTCCATTTCATTTTTGACAACTTCTAATTTTCCTAGATACATACTTCATATGTTCCACATTCCAATTATTAATGGATGTTTGCAGCTGTTTCTTCCCATTTTGAGTTGTGCCATGTCAGCAAATGTAGGTCCTGAAAGCTTTACTCCATCCATGTCATTAAGGATGACTCTAATCTGAGGAGGCAGCTCTTCCCCAGTAATAGTTTAAATGCCTACCAACCTGTAGCGCAATATCAGATAATGTTTCTGGGCTATTCATCAGGTTTTCCAGTAATACATTGGACAGTGTTTCACTGCTATTCATAAGATTTTCACTGGCCAGTTCTTTGGGAAATAAACGGCCCCTTCCTTCTTCCAAGTCTGTCTCAGTCTGGAAGCTCCATTGAAACCTGTCCATCATGGGTTACCCTGCTGATATATGAAATACCAGTGGCATAGCTTCCAGCGTCACAACAACATGCTAGTCACCACAGTACAGCAAACTGACAGATGAGTTTATTATATTGACAACACATAATTAGAGGGCCTCAAAGCCAAGTAAGAGAGAGTCCTGCTTGCTGGTTTTGAAGCCTCTTGTAACATACCTATTCTTCAGTACTTAGAGTTATGCAAATCTTTTTTTCAAAGCCAGAAGAATTAAAATAAAACCTTGATTTTACTCAAGTTTGGAAATTCTTGTATGTTAATAACTAATTCATGGTACCAGCATAGTGTTTTAAATTGAGAATACTATTCATACGAAATTGATCTTTGCTGCTGAGCAGTGCATACCACTATATTTATTATCAGTAATTGTTGTGGAGTTCAGCTTACCTCCAGTTTTAGTGAATGTAATCTCAGTGTAATATGGACCGATAAGGTACATCCTATCATAAAATGGAAAGTGGCCACACTCCTTGGAGAGAATGGAGAATAAAAGAGAGAAACTCTGTTCCAGAGATATGTGTGACTTTCTTTGGGTCCTTAAGTGATAGCTTAAACACTTTACATCCAAACATTTTATTTTAAGTTATTCCTATTCATAGACACTGGTTAATTAACTTCCATATTCTGTCACTTTTGTTTATAGGAACAAGGAAAAGTTTTGATCACTTGATATCAGATACAAAAGCTCCTAAAAGGCAAGAAATGGAATCAGGGATCACAACACCTCCCAAAATGAGGAGAGTAGCAGAAACTGATTATGAAATGGGTAAGAAACAAAGCTATTTATTGACCTAGAGTGTTGAAAATAAAATAGAAGTTTACATTAAAGCCATATTTACTTTCCAACCATTTCTTTAGGGTGAAATAGAGAAGCATTTGTTCTGTTCTGAAATTTATTCTTCTTTCAAATGAAAGTTATCCTGAAACTTGTGTAAAAAGTAATCATAATCACATTATACAGTAATGTAAACAGCAGCCAAAACTTTTATATAGGTTGTGGTACCCATATGATATTTATGTTAATATTTGCAAGTGTCTACTAAAGAGCTACTGGATTTTAGAGGTAATATCAAAATATGATATTTTGGTGAAGTGGTATCCAATATGTGTATTTAATTAGTACATCCTGTCATGTAATCTATATCTTACTGCAGAAACTCAGAGGATTTCCTCATCACAGCAGCACCCACATTTACGTAAAGTTTCAGTGTCTGAATCGAATGTTCTCTTGGATGAAGAAGTACTTACTGATCCGAAAATCCAAGCACTTCTTCTTACTGTACTAGTAAGGATTTTCTTTTCATTTTTTTTTTCCCTCCTATAAGATTTTATTCCAATCTACTCTTAAGAAGTCCTTGAATACTAAAAACATGAAAGCAGAAGTCTTCTCACCAAAATAAATAATCCAGTCACAAAGTAAAAATGCTGTTTTTTTGTTTTTGTTTTTTTACTTTTTTGCATCTTGGCAGGCTACACTAGTAAAATATACCACAGATGAGTTTGATCAACGAATTCTTTACGAATACTTAGCAGAAGCCAGTGTTGTTTTCCCAAAAGTTTTTCCTGTTGTGTAAGTATCTCCTTTTACTTTTATACCTATCTTGAAGTCTAATGCTTTGTAAAGGCTTAGGAAAAATATTAGCTAGTAATGTTTACGGGTTGTGGAGAGGGGATAGTGAGATACGATAATAGTGATTTTAGCTTAGAGATAATCTGTTTAATGGTAGCTAAAACTAGTTTTGGTCTGTGTATTAGGAAATACATTCTTTATCTTGTTGATTTTCTTAAATGGTTCGTCATGATGGGCATTGTTCATTTCCTCACTGAGGAGCAAACCATGAGACTACTGTATTTAAATCAGCTTACCTGTTTTAGTTTCCTTTTCAGTTAAAGCTTTTGTATTTGTCCAAAGCTGGGTTAAAACAAAATTGATCTATTTGAGAGGTGAATTTGATTTTTTCTTAAGGGCTAAAATAACCTGAAAGTGTTGCTCAAATCTAAATAACACAAAGAAACTTGGGAAATTCAATTTCTGATCTGGGCCTCCAGTGTAGCACCATTATTTCCTTATTTTTGGTTAATCTCATTGTAGCATTTCAGAATGTTATGTAGTTAGTACTCATTTTTTATTAATGGCCTATAGCTAGCTTAGAAGTAATTTCTTCTATAGTTTGAATTATATCCTATATTGTATCCCCTCTCAAGTAATTCTTCCTTCATTATTTGATCTGATTGAGCATTTATCAAGCACTAATATTAACTTCATGCGTACATAGGTCAACAGACAGCAGGAAAAAAATTTTTTTAAATAATCTTAAAAGATTTTAAGTGTCAAACAGTAGCCAACTTTGTCTTGAATAGAAATTCACCATATACATTTATAGTTCATGGTTATATGTCAGTACTAGTTACTTTTTTGTCTTCTTTTCCCTGATGATCAAAAACAAAACAAAAGACAAGCCAAAAAGACAAACACACACACACACACACATACACACATTCATTATAGAAATTTTAGAATATATGGAAAAGCATCAGAAAGTAAAACACTCATCTCCCTTCATTTTTGTCACATTTTCGGGGGAATGTTATAATATGTTTTCCAGTGTGTATTTTCATTTACTTTTCTTCTAATATAGTTCTGTGTTGGTTTTTATTTTTTAGGCACAATCTGTTGGATTCTAAGATCAATACTCTGTTGTCATTGTGCCAAGATCCAAATTTGTTAAATCCAATCCATGGAATTGTGCAGAGTGTGGTGTACCATGAAGAATCGCCACCACAATACCAAACATCTTACTTGCAAAGTAAATAAATGTATCGGGAGAAGGATTTTTGATGAACTTGCTTGTGTGTACTGTCGTAGAATGCACTCAACTATGGGATCCTTTAGAAAGAATAGGGTGTTCATGTTTCTCTCTCCACATGATTCTTTTAATTGTACGTTCAGTAAGATAACTGGTTGATGACACCTTTTTATTATTAAAATGTGGTTTTATATTGAGTGGATTTTAAATGAGTTTTAGTCTGGCTTTGACCCTAAGAAAATGTTCTCATTGTGTGCATGGATCAGCTATACTGTTTAATTAGTTTCTGTTAAGATTAAAAGATGTCATGATTGTTACAAGAGTAACATTTGATTTGTTGCAGGTTTTGGTTTTAATGGCTTGTGGCGGTTTGCAGGACCCTTTTCAAAGGTAAGGAAGTGTGTTTTGCCCTGTTACTGACAAAACAAAAAGTTTTTATACCCACATAAGTGAGCCTGATATCAGAACACACAATATGTGGAAACCGAATGATTCACAATAAACACAAAAGTTATTTTATCAAAAGTTTTCCACCACAGGATTCTTTCACAGAGGCAGCATCCTTAATATGTTTAGAGTATATAATAGTTTTTACAAAAATAAATCAGTTTGTGCTTGACTTTTCAGAAGACTGCGACAAGCCTCTTTAAAACTTCTCTGCCCTCAGTCTTCATATATTTGATATCTCAGTGCATACACTTAACAAACATATCTTGAGAAAGAAGGAGCATACCTGTAGTTAAAATCTACCTGCTGAAAACATTTTTCCTTCCAAACTGTTGGATTAAATCTGTTCCTCCCTGGATATATCCTCATTTGCTCCTATCCAGTTTGTTCTTTGATTGGCATTAGTTGCTATAGTGCTGTGGAAATATGTGTTTAATTATTTTCTTTGAATATGGTCTCTCTCCAGATTGATTGAGGTTCCTTGAAGGCAGGACTTCTGTTTCTTCCCCGCGCAGTTCCTAGTGTAGTGTTCTAGATAGAGAGGGTGCTATGTCAGTATAAATTATTTTAGTCTAATTCTAGTTTTTAAGAATCAGGTAATTTGTAATTTTGTTTTGTACAAATTGCTGAATATCTCTTGACATGCAAAGGCTGTCACTAAATAAGTGGCCTGAGCTCACAGAAATAGTGTATCATGTGGGAATTTTATAGTTTGATGAGCAAGCAGCCGGCTGAGCCATTCACAGTGTCTAGTTACTCGTCTCTCTAAATGGCAGCTAGACTAAGGACGCTCTGCTGATTTGCTCTGGTTTGGGGAAATTGGCTAGACACCATTCCTGACGATCGCATTGTCTCAGGGTTAATTCTGTCTTGGTCTGTGCGTGACTTTCAGTGATTGTAGGTTCATCTGGAAGTTTTAAGTAGGAGCTGAATAAATACCCTAGTTGTAAGTCCCATGGTAGTCCATAAATGTTACTCTGCTCCCTGTTTTTAGTGATCAAAGGAATTTAAAATAGTAAATTAAGCCCAAAACAAAAATTGAGTTAGATTTTTTGACTTCAAAGGGGATTTACAAAAAGAAGAATGGAGCTAAAATAACTTCCTATTTTCCATTACAGCAAACACAAATCCCAGACTATGCTGAGCTTATTGTTAAGTTTCTTGATGCCTTGATTGACACGTATTTGCCTGGAATTGATGAAGAAACCAGTGAGGAGTCCCTCCTGACACCCACATCTCCTTATCCTCCTGCAGTACAGAGCCAGCTTAGTATTACTGCTAATCTTAACCTTTCTAATTCCATGACCTCACTTGCAACTTCCCAGCATTCCCCAGGTCAGTAAATGTAATCTTTATATAAATTTGAGCATAAATATTAATATACCAACATTAGGAGTTCCCTTGTTACCAGTTTATAGCAGATTTGCTCCTTTTATCATGAAGTTCACCTTACCTCTCTTTACCTCATAGCCGACTTGAATTTTGTTACTCTATAAAGCTTTCTACTTTCAAACAAGTTATACATAAGACAGTGAGATGATAACGCAGAGTGTTCCCATAGTGTTCCAAGGTTGATGAGCTCTTAGAGTGTGGCCAGGAAGAGCAGCTTAAGCTACGTTACCCTGTAAGTGAGCAGAACTGTAATTCCTTTATAGCTATATTAACATTGCCCTGAGGGCTTCTGTGCCTCTATTCATACTGCTTTAAAAAAAAAAAAACACACAGTATGGTGGTACCCACTTTCCCACCGCCAGCAACAATTCAACCATCCACACAGCAACCTGAAAATCTAGGCATAAATAAACAACCAGACAAAAAAAGTCACCCCAAGGAAATGACATCTTACCAGCCCCTAAGTATATTCTTACTGTAGAGTCACTACTAGATCCAAGAAGGAAAAGTATACTAATTCAGCATGCAACTTAGAAGCGGGCACACTGAGAAGTAATCATGGCTAGAGTCGGGCTAGATAAACAGCACAGTAGAAATGACAAACCTACAGAACTCTGGGCTCATTCAGTGTCAGGGTTAATGGCTTCACACAACTCAGTTGATGCTGGGGATGTTATTCATTATAGAACTAACACCATTGTACATGTCATGGTTTACAGTGAATAATGAAGGAAAGCTTCCTGTATAGGCATAGTTTCTGTTTAGAAAAACATGTTACTAAAATGATTAACATAAAAGAAAGTTTTATGTTTAAAGTTCCATTACCTGAAATTTTTACTTTTGAAACACCTCATTATATAAGAAGTTTACTGTGCGTAGTTCTTGTAAGTGTTGGCATGGGTCTTCTTTTAAAAAGTTAAATGATGAATTACAAGTATTTTTTAATGTTCAGGATCCATAAATAGAATCCCCAGTTTATAATCCCAGTTTTGTATGAGCATTTAAGCACATATAGCTTTGAAGATTCAGAAGAATTTGGCAAATAGAATTATCTGATACGTATTATAAGCCATTATATAAAGCAATCATATTCAACTGTTAAACTTTAGTCAGTAACAAAGCTTGGGTCAGCAGAGAAACAAATGACTGAGTTCAGCCTTTCTTTATTAATCACCTTACTGTGTCTAGTCAGATAATCCTTTTTCCTCCCAAGAAAGAAGTCTAGCCAACTTTTTCCCCCGTAAAACCGTATTAGGAGCCCTAGTGGCATAGTGGTTAAGTGCTCTGCTGCGAAGCAAAAGATTGGCAGTTCAAATCTACCAGCTGCTCTGTAGGAAAAAGGTGAGATAATCTGCTTCTGGGAAGATTACAGCCTTGAAAACTCTATGGGGCAGTTATACTGTGTCCTGTAAGGTCACTGTGAGTCAGAATTGACTCAATGACAGTGGATTTGGATTTTTATTAGAACCATGTTTATTTGCGCTCTATCATTTACCCTGTAGGTCAGTCGTTCTCTGAGTATGGTCCCCAGGCCAACAGCGTCACCATCATCTAGGCGTTTGTTATAAACGCAAATGCTAGAATTCTCACCCCAGACCTCCTGCACAAAAAACTTGATGGTGGGGGCCCACCAGCAATCTGTGTTTTCATAAGCCCCAGGTGATTCTTATGCCCCCTAGCATTTGCAAATCATCATACTAGTTTATGCCTGTGATCCTGCCCCATTATCAGCATTTGAACTGTTAAAGTAGGGAAAAATTTAAGTCACCAAATGCTTTCCCACTTCATAAAATCTTAGCATGTTGGAGGTTGGAGGTAATTTAGTTGTAGGCTCAAACCTTTGTGTGCGATGAGAAGACTGAGGTTTGAAAGAGTTAAATGAATTGCTCTTGTCACATACAGGGTCAGATTACCCAATAAGCAAGGTAAGCACAGGCTTACTTGTGCTTACTTATCTGTAGTGAACAATTTCACGTAGGTTTTACCGCATATACTCCACCCCTGGCCACACAGCTCTTATCTAGAACCAAAGCCCATGCTCTTCCTACCACATTCATTACTTTCCATATCGCTCTGTGTGCCTCTGTAATTACTTCTCATCTGTCTTACTTTAATTACACCAGTCCTTTTCCTCCATATTGGTGGTGGTGGTGGTGGTTGTTGAGGTTGTTGTTGTTTGTTTGTTGTTGTTGTTATGTGCCATCGAGTCAGACCCGACTCATAGCAACCCCTCCTTGGGTTTCTGAGGCGGTATCACTACGGAAGTAGATTGCCCTATCTTCCTTCCATTTGTATAATGGTCAAAACACTACAGTTTATTACAATTAGCAAATTAGTAGACTCTGTGTATATTGGTCTTCCTGTTTTTAAAGTTTGGTTCATTTTGACCAAACTTTTGCCTCTTGGACTGCTAACATAGTATTCAACTTGTCAAAACAATCAGTTGTTTTTACATTAACTTTTTAAATTCAGGCTAATTGTTAGGGAGATTTCAGCCAGTCTTTGCCCACTGATAACCACTGCCGTCAAATTGGATCCGACTCATGGTGACCCCTCCTTGGGTTTCCAAGGCTGTAGCTCTACAGAAGTAGATTGCCCAGTCTTCCTTCTGAGGAGTGGCCCACTGATGGGGATAATAGAATAATCAGGTGGAAGAATACAGGTGTCAGTTCAGATTCCCTGTTAGTTGATTAATCACTTATGTCCAGTGATGGCTGGACATTAGCCACATCATAGGCTTTGGGAAAAAAAGTCTGACCCTGAAACTTCTTGTTTCACGTTGTCCATAAAAACCAGAGACTAGCATATGTGGTTTTGATTACAGTTTTTAAACTACTGGTATTATCTCAGTAGTGTTCCAAAAATGGTTGCTTGAGTAGACTGCTCCACACTGCAAATCTGTCTATTCTCAAAAGAAATTAGACCTTTAAAAGTAATAGTATTAAGCAGAATCACTGTGTTCGATTATTCCTGTTTCTAAATTGTGTGTTCGTTTTGCTAGATTGTTTTACTACATGTTTTGTCATCTGCTCTTGCAGAATACCTCTAATAGTAAGAGTTAATACTGTCTCTGTAATTAGCTGGTGCAACTTCCTATCTTTACCTCCTTGTAAGCTTGTGCCCTTACCTACTCCTTGGTTTATGGAACAGAATTACCGGTATTAAAGAGCTGAAAAGAATGATGAATCTTACCCAGAATCCTAACTCAGTTAGGCAACTCAGCTTGCTGTTTAGCTGTATGAGGAACCCTAGTGGCACTATAATCAGGCATTCAGCTGCTAACCAAAAGATTGGCGTTTTGAACCCATCTAGCAGCTTCATGGGAAAAAGACCTGGTGATCTGCTCCTGTAAAGATCACAGGCTACAAAATCTTACAGGGCAATTCTACTCTGTCATTTGATGGCACCCAATACCAACAACTATGCACGCACGCACGCATGCACTGGAGAGTCAGATCCTACTCATAGCGACCCCTCCTTGGGTTTCCGAGATGGTATCACTATGGAAGTAGATTGCCCAACCTTCCTTCCGAGGAGTGGCTGGTGGGTTTGAACCGCCAGCCTTCTGGTTAGCAGTCAAGTGCCTTAAGCACTACGCCAGCAGAGCTCCTGCACAACTAGCAGAATAGAAACCAAAATAGCTCCTTACCTCCACTCCCATCATCCAGGTACCAAGTGGCAGTATTAAAAGAAGCTGTATCACTCCCCGAAATTAAGGGTATGTGGCTTGCCATTGAATTACCGAACTTCAACCTCTCCCCAGTCTGCTGAGCTTAAGCAGGTGAAGGCTGTAGTACTCTATGTCAAAAGGCAAAAGTTGTCAATCTACACAAAGCTCAACCCTTTGCTGCTAGCTTTTCCATGTCAGTGCAAGACTCTGGCTGCTTTCTAGATCTTGCCTGATTTTTAAAGCAGAATCAGCTACTAAGTTGTATTTGCTTTTGGTCTCCAACATTCTTTGCTGTCCAATAATCAACTAGATGAGATTCATGAACCTGCCAGCATTAAACCTTATTTAAATTAAAATTTTGATAATTCCTAAGTCACCAGCATTTGAAGAAAAATGTATCTAAAACACTTGTCTCTGAAAATGCATCTTCTGTAATAAATTATCATAGCTGTCAAATTGTCTATCCTCTTACTACAAAGGGCATTGTTTTTTTTAAGTCTATATCTAAAAATACATAAATGACTGTCCTCTGAATCCCTCCCTAGTAGAATTAAATTTGGTATCACTGAAGCCAAAGGATTATATTCAAGAGTTCAGTGCATATAAAATTGTGTTAACTATGGCCCCTTTAGCCAAATAGGCATAAAGCTTTGCCTTCTCAGACCATCCCAAATGCTGCTAAGAATGTTGTGAAGAAAATCCATAACATTTTACTTAAAGATATTTAAGAATATTTCAGATTTAATGTTTGGATTCATTATTAGGTCCAGTGTAGCTCAGCTAGACATGAATTGAAGAACCAAGATTAGAACTAGAAAATAAAATGTATTTACCTAAAAAATGCTATATACTTTCTCTTGCTTAAAGCCAAGCCACAAGTGGCTTTCTTGGTGGATTTTTTTTTTTTTCTTTTAATTTTTATGATTTGGGTGAAAGTTTACAGAGCAAATTTCATTTACCATATAGCAGTTCATACACATTTTGTTACATGATGTTGACTGCAATTCTCCACAACGTAACAGTCTCTTCCCATTTACTTCCTGTAGTTACCTCTTCCTGTGTCTTTCTTTCCTGTGCATTTCTGCCCCCTGAGCTATCACGCTGTGCAAATACTGCACTTCTACTCTCCATGATTGATTGTTCTAAGAAATGTATGTACCTGATGTAAATCTGCACCCTATATGCCTGTCTGTTGTTTGGCTGGAAGCCAAGGCAGTGAGTTCCATTCCAGACCTGAAGGGTAACTAGGGGGCGTGGTCTCAGGAGTCTCACC